ATTACCGTGTTCAAAAACATTATAGAACCTGCAAAAAAAGACTATCATATGTTAAATGTCTTACCTGAATGTCAACTTGGAAGGGGAAAATAATTTTTTATTTCAGGTGGATAATTTTCATAGATTCATTTTAGTTGGCCAAAGACTTAAAGAAACACAATGAAAACACATACGAAGTATTTAAGAAGCACAAACAAAGGAAGAAAATTAAAAGCCAAAATGTACAGTATACAGAGAAGAATAAAATAGACAATTTGATAAAGTAAGCAAAATCTAGCAAGTCATTGATTTCATTTCAGGAGATTATACTATCATATAAAGGGATATACAGTTTAGACACATTTGAGCTATGCCCAAGAAAACATTAATTTCATTCTCCAAAAATTGTCTATCCAAAAATCATTATGTTGTCAAATCCCAAAAATGGACAGGGTATGTGTTTGTAATTCTACATGGGGTCATTGAACTCCAAATTATAAAGTTGTCGAAAACAAAAGGCATGGACTTTAATTTGGAAGAAACAATGACTTACACATTACAAATGGGTGGTACATATGTTATTTTTTACGTTAGGCCATCTTCTAAATGGGCTTAAGCTTAGCTTGGAAGATCTGTAAATATACATTAAAGAATGTTAGTAGTGGTATGTAGTATAATTTCTATATTTTCCGTATATATTTCAAAATATAAGTTTATATTAGAAAATTCAAGAGTTCAGTACTTCAATATGCATCACACAAAATTTGCCTATGTTAAGTCAATATGTTCTGGATGAACACGTAAGAACACTTAATTAGTAACAAGAATTAATGAGAAAAACGATTTTAAAAATGAAATGAAACATGTCAAAAACGGACTAGAATTCACGGAGTATGAAATACAGAGTAATATTGAATTTAAAGTCTACATTCACATTTGGAAAGTAAGATAACAAGATTTTTTTAAAGGTTACAACTCTATTTGATAAATATAAATTCAATACCAAAAAAAATAACCAAAAAAAAGAATACGTACTTTTTAACACCCATTACAAACGCCATCCAAGTGTAGATTAGCATAAATTTGAGTTTAAATTTTAAAGAACAAAGCCAAAAACTGTAAATCTGGACCTAATCATACCTCTGCAGAATAATAGACCCGTTTCGCTAACCTTTTCAGCATCCTCTACACATCTCCGCTTATCTAAGCATCTTCGCCGCATCACTGTTTCTCTCAGCACCGTCAACGATAGGCCACTCAACGAATGGCAGATTGGGATACAAGGTGTGTTGTCGCCTGCTGTAGGATGTTTAGCATAGCTTCTAACAGAGATTTTAGATGGGCGGAGTATTTCGGTGGTGTATGTGGACGAGATGTGGAGGAGATTGCCGATGGAGATGGTGTGGGGGAATAACGCGTGGAGGCGATGCGTTGATATGGTCTGGCTTGACCTAGATGAAACCACGTATAAAACTGTAAATAGGCTGATTGGATTGTCTTTGATGAATACAAAATTCATATTTAATAGCCCATATCAAAATTCATATTTAACAGCCCATATCAAAATTCATATTTAACAGCCCATATCAAAATATAATTATACGAGTATTTAGCAGCCCAAATATATAGCATTTGTATTTTTTTTATGGATTGATTTTTATTAAATCCAAGATTATGGGGTGTTGGGAATGAATTCTATTTTGTTTTCTTTTTAAAAAGTTAGATTCTTCCATCAAAATCAAGTTTTTGGAAGTTCCCAACCTTCTAAATAATTGTTATTAAGAGTAACTTAGAGCAGTTAGATTTATTTTGACACTTTCACCTAAATATTCAAGTAAATGTTTATGTTTTCTCATAGGGAATTGAAGAGGCCGTTCTAGAAAGTATATCGAAACACCCATTTGTAATACAACTTCATAATTATGCTGATCAAAATATCCTAATTCCAAAAATATTATGAGTAAATTTTGTTATGGTATTTCTAAATTAAAAAAAATGAACAAGGTTAATAAAATGGTCTATTTTTTCATAAGTACAGAGATTATAATTTAGTGGAAATAATAATGAATATGTTATTGTAATAACTTTTTAGGTTTCTAACTATGATTTTAATAGGAATCAAAATGACCAAATATATTCAGCATCACGTATAGAATAATAAATGGGTTGCATTAAATGTTTATTATTAATCCTTAAATATTTTAAATTAATTTAGACTAAATTCATTAGAATTTCTCTCATTTTGATAGTAAAACAAGCATGAAATAAATTGTTGTTATTACACTTTTCAATATATTTGTTAGTCTGATTATGGGAGAATAATTATAAATATAATAATACTTAAGGAAGTTAAGTCTAATTGTTTTATATATTCCTCTCCAGATTAGCTTGCAATTGATAAAAAAATAATCAACCGTGTCTTTCAAGACATTCGATTCGAAGAACCTCTTTGAAATAATTTTATAGCAACTATTAAACTGAGCTCTTCTCATGTTTCTCTGCTAATGGTAAGTATTTATGAAAATTTAATCTTCTTTTACTTTTTCATTATATTCATTGTTGGAATATAATGAATTGAAAAACATGTCGATTCACAATTAAGTTATCGGTCCTACACTACAAAAAACACTTTTTGGATTTCCATGCACATCGCAGTACGGCTAACAAGGGAAGTAGTATATTTAAAAAATATTTTAAGAGTATATTAAGCTCAGGTAGTGTGTGTAAATCCGATTCAATCAATGATCTATGACAAATTTGCAAACAACTGGATTCTTAAATAGTCTTAAGACGATAGATATGCCAGACATCCCAAATCAAGAATTGACATTAAAAGTTGGTACTACATTGTGCTTTTGCATAATATCGATAATAATTCATAAGGTTTGTGTAACGGGGCAAGACACATCATAAATCGGCTATGTGATCACATTTTAGAGAGTAATAAAGTCCTTAATGTTATGAGTCCATGTCAAAAGGTTTTACACCAAGACTATCCCTGACACCGCCTGATGTTAGGCTTCCTTTTAAATTTTAAAGGAGACAATCTCCTATAATGACTTTTAATGCAATGACAATCAATAAAAGTCAAAAATAGTTGCTCTCTGGCATCAGACTCTCCTTAAAAAAAATAGTATGCTTATAGTACGTCATGGACAATTGCATATTTCTCTTTCAAAGTTTAGAACTGTGTAGGCCTCAAAGCCCTAATTAAAAACTTAGGCGGTTGCCCGAGTGACGAAACCAAGAACATCGTTTACAAAGAAGTGTTTCATAATATCGGATTCTTACTTTGTATCACAAATCAACTATATGTATTGCAATTGGTTTTTAAATATTATTGTGATCCATACTATTTATTTAATTACAGACTCCAGAGTTCAACACATTTTTAGCGCAAATTATTTATTATTTAATTTACAAACGATTTCAAGCACCGTGCATCGCACGGGAGCTATACTAGTAGAACTAAAAGAGACCAAAAATCACAAATAGGAGTATTCGTTTTAAAATTGTAAAAATATGATTTTTTGTGATGATGAGCTCCCTTAAAAGGAGATGCACCTTTGTTGGTATGAGTAGTACTATTAATCCATTTATATTAATCTCAAGTGTTACAATCACCCCCACTTAGGATCGCAACATCATCGTTGCGCTCTTAAACCAATCTCAATCAAACCCCAAAATCTTTCCCCTGTTAAGTGCATGTCCGATATCCAACGGATCAGCACGAACCCCGGCCAATGGGATCCGATTTAGTTACTCCAGACCTCTAGTACTATCCCCACAAACCACCACGACCCTTTACCGCGCATTTTGTCCTCACTCATGCGCGCCATGAGAAACTTCCTAGGGGGTCACCCATCCCAAGACTACTCCCATGCAAGCACGCTTAATTTTGGAGTTCTTGGGTGATGAGCTCTCTTAAAAGGAGATGCACCTCTGTTAGTATGAGTAGTATTATTAATCCTTTTAAATTAAATCTCAAGTGTTACAATCACCCCCACTTAGGAACGCACCTCTAGTACTGTCCTCACAAACCGCCATTAGCCTTTTACGCGCACTTTGTCCGCACTCATGCGCGCCCTGAAAAATTTTCTCGGGCGGGATTCACCCATCCCAAGACTACTCCCGTGCAAGCACACTTAACTTTGGAGTTCTTGGGTGATGAGCTCCCTTAAAAGGAGATGCACATCTGTTGGTATGAGTAGTACTATTAATCCTCTTAAATTAATCTCGAGTATTACCACTAGTAAAAAAAGGGCTTATAGTACACAGCCGTCGTCGGAGCTCCGATTGGGCAAAAAAGTCCAGATTTTTTTAGTCCTAGTCCGTCTACCACCACCACCACCGGATTGCCTCGGCACCAATGGATTGTCTCAATTGTCCGAGGGAACTAGGGGGAACTAATCAATTAGTTTAGGAGTATTAAGGGTAGAAAATTAATATTTAGTCCTATTTTTGATAGATTTAGGTTTTAGTCCCATTAGTGCAATTATGTTTCCATTTAGTACAATTTAGGGTAATTACTATAGATTTATTAAGTCATATTACAAAAAAGCCCCTCCCTTTAACTATATTCCCGATTTTACCTTATAAACTAAACATGAGTAACCCGTACTAGATTCTTGAAACATACGGCGCAGTATGTTTCAAGAATTTGTTTGACTGTATTCCCGATTGAATTTTGAGCTAAAATTTGGTACAAATAAACTAGATTTGATGAGGAACATGCTCAAAAAAATTCATCAAAAAACTCCACCGGGAAACCCCTCAAACGAGCAAGTCCGCACGGCGGATTTGGTCAGGCACGCCTGACCGGATCAATACTCGTACAGTCGTATAGACATTGCTAAAACTCTAAGCAGGTCATAAAGGATTATTGTACTCCATTCGTGAGAGCCCTCACCGAGCAGTTGTGTAAGAAGATGTAAATTGAGCTTTGATTAGTTAGTAGACATTATTAATAGAAAGAAGGTAGAGTAGCATCCCAAGTCCTTCCTTATAGTCTTTTTTTTCTCTTTGTAAGCAGCTCATTTACTAAAACAACCCGGATACATCCGAAAATGAAACACCACTAAAACACTCAGTCATAGATACTCCGTACATACATTTGCAACAATCTATAATAGTAGTAGACAGTAAGACAGAAATTACTCTAATGAGAGTACAACTATTTTTGTTGTTTTTACGGGCATCTGGAAACAATAATACATAGTACTCCGTATCATTTATAATTAATGTCTGTGACATAACATACTAGTATGATTTTGAAGGGACATTATCTCTGTTACATCTGTGGAGAATGAATGAGATATATGTGCGTTGCTAAGAAGTAGTCATAGTTGTTGTCCGAACTGGAGTTGGATCAGACCGAGACCGACAATCTTGAAACGTTTTTATAACAATCACCAAAAGTGAAACTACCATTAGCACTGCTAGCAGAGGAACCGGACCCCCTGCGGGATGATGATTAGGAGACGATGAAGACGTCTGTGTCTGAGATGCTCCCTCGGAAGAAGGGTGTGGAGCATGTACTTGCGGTAGTTCATCAGCAGCACTCAAGTCGCCTGAGGCATTACAAGTAAATAGGCATAGAAACGTGCTGATTGCAAATAATATGGTAATGAAATCATCTGTTTTCATGTTTTACTTCGTACAAGCCGTGATGACGCACGTCAAAAAATAACCTCTAGCTAGCTATGCACGATTGATAGATGCAAGTAATTTCATATATCTACCACCATATATATAAGGGCATTTCTCTAGGATTAATATAAAAAAAAAAAGAAGGCTAAAGGGTCAAATAGGTACATGAACTAACTAAAAGTGTTCAATTAGCCCCTTATATAGGAGGTTCTGCCCGGCCGTCGCCAATTGGGGCGTTTCCCGGTGGAATTTTTTGATGAAATTTTTTGAGCATCTTCTTCATTAAGTCTAGTTTATCCATACCAAATTTCAGCTAAACATTCAACCGGGAAGGCAGTCAAATGATTTTTTGAAGATAACTGCGCAGGTAAACAACGCAGTACATTTTGAAAAATCATTTGACTGCCTTCCCGATTTAATTTTTATCTGAAATTTGATATGAGTAAACTAGACTTAATGAAGAAGATGCTCAAAAATTTTCATCAAAAAATTCCACCGAGAACCGCCCCAATTGGCGACGGCCGGGCAGAACCTCCTATATAAGGGGCTAATTGAACACTTTAAGCTAGTTCATGTACCTATTTGACCCTTTAGCCAAAAAAGAATTGCAACAATGGGAGCTCAGGGTTTAAATTCCCAAAGTATGACCTACTCTTCCTATTCTACACTTTCCCTTGTCATTCTTAATCAGATTTTTTAAATAATAATAATAAAACATAATAAAATAAAATAAAAATAATAAAAAACGTTAAAAAATAAATAAATAATATACAAGCTTCAACCACCACTACCTCAGTCACCTTTAAGTACCGTCATCTCCTGTCACCGGAAAAGAATGCCAAGTTGGGAAAAAAAAGTCATAGTGATGCCAATTTTGAAATGAAAGATGTATATTTTCAAATAGTATAAATGTGTCATCTCAAAGAGTAAGAAAGTGGCATTTTTTTCTAGCGATCGGTGCTGGTGGTGCTGAAAGGTGGAGGGTGCGGTGGCAGTAGCCTATATTTTTTTTAATTTTTTAGGTATTTTATTTTAGTTTTTTTTTTTGAGTTTTTAGAATATTTTTTATTAATTTTTTAATTTTTATTATTATTTTTTATTTTTTATTTTTTATTTTTTCCGTTTTTATTACTCGTATTAATTTAGAAAAATATATTTATATTATAAATTAAACTATGATTTTCTTATTAATAAATAAATCTATTAGAAATTATAGCAAGGGGTGGAATAGGAAGAAGAGACATACTACGTTCTTATTATATACTCCCTCCGTCCCATTGGAGTTTGCCAACTTTCCCTTTTTGGTTGTCCCGAAAAACTTTGCAACTTACCTATTAAAGCAACTAATTTGCGGTTCTGTACATTTCTCTCCTCTGCACAAATCTCAAACACACAGTTTTTACTATTCTTATTTCTCACCTATTTTGCACTTGACAAAATCCACCGGGACGGAGATAGTACGATACAAATGATACAAATGAAGTGTTTGGGAAATGGTGTTTCAATAAAAAAAAATGATTTGACCTGTTTTAGAGTATTTAATATGTGAAACAATGTTGGCTTGGTGAATAGTTGATTTGCGCTAATGCGCTAAATTTCTGAGGTGGAGTCTTAGTCAATATGATGAAGTAAGCCCTGACTCACCACATTGCATTATCTTTTGTAGAAAATGAGTAAATATATACTGTATTGTTCAATGATATTCTTCCGATTTAAACTGAGAATCAAATGGAAATACTGGTATGCGATTGTATATATTTGTAGAAAATTAAAACATCAATTTGCAACATAAGATAAGTAACATTTTTAAACGTGTACATAACAAAAATTCGACACATGCTCGGAGTTGGGTACTAGTGTACTACTATACAAATTGAACAGGTACATAATTACATTTGTCTTTATTTATATTTTTTAAATAATACTCCATCTATTTCATTTTATAAGATATCTTTATCATTCACTTGGTCAATACAAATCACTCTTAATCTTTTATTTTATATATCAAAATTTTATGAAATTTGAATTATTTTTGGCAGGTTTTGTAGCGGTTTTAATGTCGTTTCTGAATATGTAACTTTTTTCCTAAAAATAGTTTGAGTGTATACAGAGATTCGTTTACTTTATCGTCGGCAGGGGCGGAGGGAGGGGGTGGCCGGACTGGGCCCTGGCCCAGGGTATTTTATTTATTTTTTAGTTTATATATATAGTTTTGAATTTTTTTCTAGAATTGGCCCAGTGCAAAAACACAGGCCCATTGTAGAACCTTCCTGGCCCAGTGCAAACAAATGGTCCAGTGCTATTCTAAAGAAAAGAATCGCAGCAGTGAGCAGCCAGAGGACATCCGCATACGAACTCGAAGCATTTCAGCAACTATATAATTCTAAAAATGAAACCCATCATACTACGTAATTCGTACTAGGAATCCACAATTGCTTTTACGATTTTTTTTAAGTATATTATTTGTTATTTTAGTTTGTGAAATTGTGTTAGTGACTTAGTGTGTCACAATTGATTTGTGTTCTTTGAATTGTGAAATGAAAATTTAGGAATGTCAAATGCTATAGTGAATTTCTTAAAATATTAATATGAATTATATGAATTAAAATAAAATATTGATTAGTTTTTTATTCTTTTGCTAATTTTAATAGGTATGGCTACTCAATCTAGCAAAAATCACATTGCGTTCGTTTTATAAGCCTAGTACAAGCACACCAAATACACAAGAGTTAAATGTCTCAATTGAAACTCCTAATATCTCATACCGCTCAAGAGGAAGTAGTTTCCGATGCACTTGTAATTGAGCGGGATCCGGGAAAACGGAAAACGATAAGTGATTGGCCATTAGAGAAAAGGAATGAAATTAGACGATCTTATTTGATGCTCGGACCTTATCAACTGAAACTTAACTTTTACAAAGATTGAGAATACAAAGATACGTCGTTTTCAAGCCACTTGGTTCAATGAATTTAATTGGTTGGAATACTCTCCAACAACACATAAGGGCATGGAAATCTTCAAACCAATACATTTCTCCTCATTCATGATCTTAATTTACATTGGGTAGAAGCATGGGCATGCACGAACTACAAAGCTAGTCATCATCATAATTATGAGTATATGCCTAGAAGTTGGAAATAATCTCAAAATAATTCAGCTTTAGAATTTGATACCAGATTATTTTATCAAATAATCTCATAAAATAATCTCAACTCCTCACTCATGATCCCCAAAAAAATCCTCCACATCATCAACATGATCTCAAAAATAATTTATGGATGTGGATGCCCTTATAATAAGGCATATTGTTTTCCATGCTTTCTCTTCAATCATGTTGTGCAGTCCTCTTGTGTTTTGGCTTTAGTGACTAATGGTTTTAAAATGAATGCAAAATGATATTGATATAGTATATGGGCTTGGATTTTAATCGTTGTTCACACTTTTGTAACTTATAAAATTTTTATATAATGTTTTTAGTTTAAAGTCGGCTTAGGGTAGACATCCGTCCTAGCTACGCCCCTGATCCTCGGTCAAACATCGTAAACTGAAAAGTATCTTATAATTCAGGACGATGGGAGTATATGGCTACTCATAACTCAAGAATTGAAGCATTTTGATTTTTGAACAAACAAGTTTGGGATTCAAGTAATCAAGTTAGCCTACAAACGTCGGTCTTTACGGAACAAACAGCCGCAAATAGTATTTTCAAAAAATTAGAATTATGAGCTCATGTGGTTGAATTGGTTAAAGACTAAGCTAATTTTTGCTAAGATACTCTCTTTCACCGTTCATGTCCTACTCCAACAATTCAGTATGTAAGTATAATTTTTGTTGTACACAAAATACAGACATACACGTTTTTGCATTGTCTGTGAAGTCTAATTTTTTATCTGTGAAAACACTGTGCACAGACAATCATGTTGGTTTGTCTGTGCACAGTGTTTTCACAGACAAAAAAATAACCTTTCACAGACAGTGTAAAACGTGTATCTCTGTATTTCATGTACAATAAGTTTTTTTGTACTACGGAGTATAATTTATGTGCTACGTACTCCATCTGTCCCTAAAAGAAGTTTCATTTCGCTTATCGAGAGTCAAATTAAATCATTCTTAAACTCTTACTTTTTATATCAAAATTTTATAAAAGTTGAATTATTTTTTGCAGGCTTTGTAGCGGGTTTAATGTAGTTTCTGAATATGTAAATTTTATTTACTAAAAATAATCCGAATTTTCACAGGGATCATTTAACTTTATCGTCGGTCAACCTTCATAATCCGCATTTGGAACAACATTTAGGGACGGAGGCAGTAATTAATTTATGCTCCAGAGTGTGGCTTTTTAACAACGTTAAAGAAACGCGCATTCAACTGTCATTATTGAAGAAACATACAATGGCAATGATGATGACTTTCATTATTGGCAAACATAATAATGACATAGAAACTGTCAAACTGTCACTTAGACTTCAAAGTAATTGCATAAATATAGTGAATGAATATAAGTTGTCTTTATTATATTTTAATAAGACTTCATATTTTACCTTATCACTTCATACTATCTTCGTCTCTCTAAGATTGGAACGAAAAGGTGTTTTAGTTGTTAACCCCAGTTTGACATATAAATGTATGGAAGCACTCAAGAAATGTAGATACAATGATTTTCATTAACAGAGAAGAATCTGAGAATGATATACAATGAAATGACCGTAAGAAACTTCTCTGCTCTCTCTCTCTCACTAGAATGATGTATGCGCTGAATCATTTGAAAGAGGCTCACGGCTCATTCCCTTTAAGAACATTACACGTTTTTTTGCCTTAATGATTTGTTGAAAGTAAACAACATGTGGACCACTCTCCCCCTCATGACGATCCGATAGATCGGGGCGTCATGCCTTTATTATTTTATTTCGGGTAACAAAAACTGAAAAACAAACAGAATTGTAAAGATCGGAGGCACCATGGTGTTTTGTTATCACAACATCAATGTAAACACTTATGTGTGGCCTGTATAAAATGATAGAAGTGTTACAACTCTAACAGGACTTTCAACCA